CCACGCTAACCCATCCCCCCACCCCCCTCCCCTCTAGAACCCTCAGTTTGTTTTTCAGAGTCCATCGTCTCTCATGGTTCGTCTACCCGTCCGTGGGCACTTGATTTATGATGATGGTGGCACTACAGGACAGTTGGGAGGGAATAGTTAGAGAAGGAAAGAAAGAAAGGAAGGAAGGAAGGAAGGAAGAAGAAAGAAAGAAAGAAAGAAAGAAAGAAAGAAAGAAAGAAAGAAAGAAAGAAAGAAAGTTCCTCAGTCACTTGGATAGCCACACAGAAAAAATAAAACTTGACTGCTTCCTCATACCATATACAGAAGTCATCCCCAGGTGCATTGTAGATTTCAATGTGAAAGATAAAGCAATGAAGCATCGTGAAGACAAAATGGAAAACTATCTTCATGGCTTTGGGATAGGAAAATAGGATTCAAAAGGCATTAACCATATAGGAAAAGACTGAGAAACTGGATTACTCCACAATGCAGAAGTTCTCCTCATCAAAATATAGCATTAAGAGTCAAAAGGCAAGCTACATAGAGTAAGAAGATCTTCGTTATGTGAATGACTATGAGTCCTTATCTAGAATGTATTAAAGTATCCTTCAAATCAGTAAGAAAAAGTCAACCCCATAGAAAATGTGAAAAATCTGAGTAGGCACTTCACAAAAGAGAGTATCCAAGTCATCAATACGCATTTGAAAAGATGACCAACCTCACTGGTACATGCGCATCAGAATGGCTAACGTATAGACAATGAAATGTACCAGCTGTTGACAAGACTACGGGGTGCTTGGAACAAACACCCTGGAGGCAGATAAAGAGATGGGGCACTTTGGACAGTCATGTAATGTGTCCAGATAAAGTGGAAGATATGCATCCCCCATGACCTAGCAATTCTACATTTAGACATATGCCCAACAGAAATGCGCGCACATGATCCAGCAGTCTTCACAGCCGCATCGTGTGCACCAGCAAGCAACTGCAATGACCTGGTTCCCAGCTCCAGAGATTGTGTAGAGAGCATATAAAGAAACAGTAGTGTATATATGGTACATGATGCTGTTCAGCAATGGGAATAAATGGAACTCAAGTAAATGCAACAACATGAAAAAATGTCACAGGGATCCCTGGGTGGCTTAGTTGGTTGAGCATCCGACTCTTGGTTTCTGCTCCGGTCATGATCTCAGGGTCTGGAGATCGAGTCCCTAGTTGGGCTCTATGCTCAGCAGGGAGTCTGCTTGAGATTGTCTCCCTCTCCCTCTGCCCCTCCCTCTCTCTCTTTCTCTAAAATAAATCTAAATAATTCTAAAAAAAAAAAGTCACAAATATAATTTTGACCCAAAGAAGCTAGACTCCAGAGATAACTTATTCTATGATTCCACTGCTAAGTTCAAAACCTGGAGAAGGAGCCCATGGGTTCTAAGTTATGTTACAAGTTTATGTGGTTACCTTTGGAGATGCGTGAGGGTAGCAAATGGGAAGGGTAAGGAGAGATACCGGTAATGTTCTATTTCTCATTTTGGTAGGTCGGCATTATGGGGTGGATGCACTCTGGGGACAGTCACTGTTATGTATATGCTTAGGATGTGTGTGCTTCTCCACATGCATGTTGTTTCCATAAAAAAGCTGAAAGGAGAAACTTTTCACTCCAATTTCGCCGTTTGTTATTCAGGAGAAAACTCTAGATCTCCTCTCAAAAAAACAACAGATTTGAGGCTTTCCCAGGCCAATATTAATAGGAAAGTAAATTTCTCTTTGCTCAGGTTACCTAGGAATGGAAATGAGCCTAGCTTTGGTTTATGAAAAGGGCTTCAGGAAGAATATTGTAGGTAAGATGGCCTAATATGATCAGTATAAACTAAAATAGTTCTCATTTTTTCAGAGATGCTTTGTGCGATTGTTTTGTGTGATTTTTTTTTCCATAGGGGTCTATTTTCATTTTTCCTTTATTATAAGGATGTATCTTATAGTTTAGTATTCTTTATAATGAAAAATAATCTAATTTATCCTGCCTCTACCACTTAATACAAACCCTCTGAAGACAAGATCGGTAAGTATTGCCAGGAACCAATTACATATACGTACCTGACCAGAGAGTCGTTTTAAGATTATGGGCTTCCTACATTATCATCATAGGAACAGCCAAGTGTCTGGCCAGGACAGAGAAGTAAACTCTTGCCTGACTTCCAAATATTCATTGACGCAAAACCACACCCTTAAGGGAAATGAGTTTCACTTTTCTTGGGAAAACTTAGTACTAGTTTAAACGTTTTCTTTGGACCCAGCAGCCAGCATCTGTCACTTACTTCCCCCCAAATGGAAATAACTACAGTTTATCGTGTGCTCATTACATTCAAGGCACTATGCTAAGCAATACATTCGTATTTCATTTGTGTTTAACAACACCTCTTTGGCATAACATCCCTATTTTATAAAAAAGGAAACTGAGGCTCAGGGAGGCTGAGAGCATCCCACAAGGGAAGTAGAGCTGGACCTTTATCCAAGTCAGTTAGCCTGAAGCGTGTGCCCTGGGCACCACATCACCTTGCCCAGAATCACATGCTCGCGAAGTACAGTAAGTCCCGAGGCTGCTGGGAGACCGGGGTCAGGAACTAGTCCCCACCTGGTTCCCTTTTATTTTTTCAAGATGAATAAGTCCCTTCAGCAAACAACTTGGATCAGTTCTTCTCTTATCTCACGCCTAAAATGTGACATTCTCAGGATCCTCTAGAACTTTGTTTTTAAAGATTTTATTTATTTGAGAGAGAGAGTGCAGAGCGAGCAAGAGAGAGAGAGAGAGCACGAGCAGGGGGGAGAGGCAGAGAAGAGGGAGAAGCCAACTCTCTGCTGAGCAGGGAGCCTGATGCGGGGCTC